GGGTGATTTAGTTGCTGGACTCAAGAAGTGCAGAAAACCAATTTTCAACCATTTATGTTCTTTCATATCTATATTCCTAGTTTGAGTCCGATTTTTACAATTAGAATGTGATGCTAGCCGATCTTTTGACGGAAAAGTGGAATCAATGACTAATGCACACTCAAAAGTAAAGGTCAAGGACTGCGTTGCCAAGAAGCATACTTTAGAAATGAAAGTGAACTAAAGTCAATAGGTTGGAGAGCAATGGTTCAAATTTCCCCATTATTTATTCGTATATTAGATTCTCAATCTGAAGGGTTATTGGTCAAAGGCGTCAAGCTGTCTTCTCTACAAAGATTCGCGAATTATTAGCCCAGTTTGATTCCGATATTTTCAAAGTCATTTTCTATCTAATCATTTTCAATCACACATCCATACAATAAAACATTGAAAATTGCTTGCATTATAGGGGCATGCTTCACAAGCCCCTATTAGGTTAGACACAAAGGAGGGGGGCCACATTGTTTTTTAGGAAAAAATTCATAAATAAGGTGTATATCTTACACTAATTCAAAAATCAGGTTTATAGTTTGAAAATTCAAAAATCAATTTTTTAAAATGAAATAATAAATTATTAAATCAATTTATTATTAAATATTTAATTCTAATATAATATAATTAACTCATCTCACTTGCACTACCTATACTGCTCCGGAGACTATTCCGACTACCATTCCGACAACCACTCTTCTTCGGCGGCTATTCCGATAACTGTTCCGATTCCGACAATTATTTCAACGACTATTCCGATAACCATTCTGGTCGCATATTTACAATTTAAGGTCACATTTGAAGAATTTTATAGGTCACAATTAATTTGTTGGTCACAAATCAAAATTTATAGGTCACACGGTCACATATTTCCAAAGCAATTGGTCAGAGATTATATAATTTTTAGGTTACAGAAAAAAAAATGGTTAATTTCATTGATTACATATTTTTAAATTTGTTGGTCACAGATTATTTTTCAATCACATATTGTCAAATTTTTAGGTCACAGTTAAATACTTGGTCACAGATAACCAAATACTTGGTCACATACCACCAGCACTACTTCACTCACCATCACCACACAAAGCACCACCACCACCCACAGCCACCAAACAAAGCACTTCCACCAACCCAACATAGCCGTCTCCACCGTCGACCACGACCACCACCAGATCCGCCATAGCCACCAACACAACTACCTGGACAACCAATAAAAATCACCTAAAACCCCCTAACAACACCAAAACACCATCACAACAACACAACCGCACCCAACCACCACAACACCACCACCAACATTGCACACAACACCACCACCAACCGCATTAAAAAAAAAAGACGAAAAAGAAGAATAATGGATCGCATCGAATGTCGTCGCTGCTTAGGGAGTGCGCCGCTACTGTCAGTCGACGATCGCAAGTGTTGCAGGGAATTCCACCTCCATTATATTGGTCTCCACCCCAGTAGAGTCCCCCGAGGATGAGCCCTCATCTCCAGCCGCCCCCAGCAGCAAAGCCCATTTTCCTACTTCTCCACACCCAAATGTCCACAGTAGCGTCGCGACGCCGCTTCCTGCGTCGCGAAGCTGCTGTGGAAGCAGCAATGTCGAGGTGCTGCTGCGACTCGACACTGCTGTGATTCACAACAGCGCTTGACGCTGTGAACTGCAGCAGCGTCGCGATGCTGCTGCCGTTCATAGTAGCGTAGAGAGGAGAAGGAAGGGAGGGGGAAGGGGAAGAGGAAGAGGAAGGGGAAGGAGAAGGGAGGGAGTGGGAAGAGGAAGGAGAAGGGAGGGAGGCGGCGGACGGTGGTGCAGGTGAGAGAGTGGAGAGAAATGAATTATTTAGGGTTTGGATTAGATTTAGGAAATTTGGGGAGGGGTTGGATATATAATATTTAATACTTGATTTAATTATTAATTCAATACTTGATTTTTGATTAAATAAANATAACCAAATACTTGGTCACATACCACTAGCACTACTTCAGCCACCATCACCACACAAACACAGCCACCACCCATAGCCACCAAACAAAGCACCGCCACCACCCCAACCTACCAACCCACCACACACTTCAACTGGTCAAAACCCACACACCCACGCCGCCAATACCACAGCACCGCACCTACAGCGCTCAGACACACCCATCACCACCGTAGCATTTAGCCACAGACTATCAACACCACCACCAACCAGATCTGAACCCACCACACACAACATCTGTAATCAAACACCACATCCACTCCGCCAGCTGCCGTTCACAGCACACACACACCCCCACGCACTGAACGACACCCGGCAGCCGCGAACGACACACACCCCGCGAACGTTAGTCCGGCACACACCCCGCGAACTGCGCCACCAGATCGAACATCACAGTGCAATAGATCTTGCAACACCTCTCATCGAACAGCGGAGTGAAGGAGAAACGATGGGACACAAGGTTTCATCGACTGAGCTCCCAATGATGGCTTTCGGTGGTGTCTCCGACGACAGCTTCCAGATCGCTGCAAAGCGCACCACCTCCACAGCACCAGCATCGGTTGTAACAAGCGACGCAGAGGAGGGCTTCTGCTGCTCGTGTAGCAGGTAATGCAGAGGAGGGCCGTTGTTGGTGCTATAGCAGGCGACGCAGAAGAGGATGAGGGAGAAGAGAAGAGTGTCGATCGCCTGATCAGCTTTCCACTTGGTGTCGACGAATCCGCCGGAGGGAGAGGAGTGGGAGAAGGAAGAGAGAGGGGAGGAAAGAAGAGAGAGGCGAGAGGGGGGAAATGAATTGATAAAAATGATTTAGGTTTTGGGATTGGGCAGGGTGTGAATAATATTTAATTTTTAAATCAATACCTGAATTTTGATGAAAAAATATTCTCACCTGATTTTTGCACTATAATCTTTAAATACTTGATTTTTTATAATTTCCTTTTTTTTTTATTGATACATTGGGGTGGGGCCCATGCTACAGTGAAGGGTCTTTAAAACCCATGTGAACAATTTTTCTGTACACCAGGAATTATTCTAAAACATTCTACACATAAGCTCCAATTTTTTTCTTCCTTTTAACCCCGCATTCTCCTAAAATACTATTCAAAGCTCTTTGTTTTTTAAAAGAATGGACACCAGACATGAACTTATTTATTTCCACTGAAAACGGAAAAAGAAAAAAAATAATATATATAATTTATCGATCGACAATTGAACTTGCTAATTCCTAACACCCAAAGGTTCTCAAGATTCTCAATCATTCTTTTTAGTGGAGAAGAATAAAGTGGAAAGGGAGTTTAGATTTGGGATCTTCGAATGATTTTGATAATTGATGACACTAACAACCAATGGGTTTATGGATTTGGGACGATGGGTTTCGAGATTAAGAACGTGTAATGTGGTATCGGGTTATGTTTTGGGATTGAAAGTAGAATTTAATTATTTTTTTCTTCTAATACTATTTAATGTTATACGATATTTCTTTCTGGACATGTCCTTTGAGTAAAATTAAGAGATTTAAAGGACATGGTTTGAAATTATAAGCTAATTTGACTTAAATGTCGTCTACATTAAACCTGGAAAATGGGATTTCATGTGTAAATTAAGATAAAAAAATACATTGGCATGGTTAAACCATTTTTAACTCATTCTGTAAGTTATTGTCGCGAACACACACGAGGTATACAAGCCCATGTCTCGATCACCTAAAAAGATAATTCGAAAAATCCCATTTTCTCAGACTTAGAGGTGTCAATCCGGGTGGTCCGCGTCGGCCCGTCAACATATGAGCCCGATAACAGCCCGCATGAAAAAAGCCCACCCGCTATGAATTCCGGAACCGGCCCACAAATTTTGGATTACAATCCAAACCTACCCGCTGACCCATCCAGGTCGAACCCATGCGGGTCACGGATCGCACGGATAACGATTTGTTTCGATTTGACTCGTATTATTGTATAAATAAAATTATAAAAATATAAAATTTTTCATATTTATAACAAAAAATATTTTTTTTGTTAAATGTAAATTAAGAATTGAATAAAATGATAAATTCATATTTATACAAAAAAAATGCTTACATAAAATTCAAATTTAATGTTACATAAATTATTTATAACTTTACAAAATTAAATAACAATTAAATGTATTTCTAATTACTATTATCAAATATTTATAGTATAAGTATATCACAACTAGGTTGACACCTAGTTTTATTATAATTTATAATTTAAGTACGTCCCAACTAGGTTGGCATCTACTTAAATCTTAACTATAATTTAGTTGTTAAAAAATTATATATTTTAATATTTGTATATTCCCATTTCAATTATTTACTTTTATAAATTTGTTCAAAAATTATACATTTCAAATTAAACAAAAATAAATAAAAAATTCACGGGCCAGCGGGTTAACCACGGCCCATGAAGGTGCATCCCGCGAAGTCCGCGGGTCACACCTCTTTGACTCGTGAACCGCCCGCTCGGGTCACGGGTCGGCCCGCGGTTCCCGAGTCAATCCTAGCCGATTTTCACGGATCTGGCCGGCACGTCCATCTTGACACCTCTACGCAGACTACTACTACGACGACTACATGCCCATCTAGTGGTATAAAAGCCAATTGATAACTCCAAAGACCAGACAGTAAATGATCCATTCTCCTGTAGGCACAAATAGCATAAATAACATACTAGGAAGGTCATAGATTCGATTAGTTGATAAGAAAGTTCACATTATAAATATACTATATAGCTTAAGGATTAAAGCAATTATATACTGTTAATATCTTCTATTCTCCTTCACTCCATTGGGTACTCTAGCACAACTAATTTTGTATGCACAAATTCTCAAGATGGGTATCAAATTTTTCACTAGAAAAAAAAAGCTCCCCATGCACATCAGATGTTGGCAGATTGTTGAAATTCGAAAAAAGAACTAGCTCCCCTTCTCTGTCATGCAGCGTAAAATTGAACTCCTTCGATGGCATGGTCATTTTCCGTCATAAGTAGTTTTCTTTGACCCAGACATATACTTATCAGCATCAACAGAGCTTCGACTTCTTCCTTCTGCATGCTTCTCTGATTCTTGATTGCGTACTAACTTTTGCTTCCTCCGGATTTCCTCAGCATGTCGCCACCACAAGGATTCTCTATCTTTCCTTGGCATCTTGTTATAACGGGGATCGTTCTTTAAGAGTTGTTTGGCTGTCGACCAAGAATTAACAACTGTCTTACCATCTTCTGTTTCTCGAGATGCAGCATCCGCAGTTATTACCTCGGCTAAGAGAGCTTTATAATCCACCGCACACCTCTACAACCACAGAGGGAAGTCGGTTATAAAAAAACAATTACTCCAACGATATGACTGGAAGTAGATTACAGGGGGAATTGCTTGTTGGACTAAATAAAAATAACATACTGACGCCATTAGCATGATAAGCAGAAAAGAAATTAAAACAATGACTAACCATACGGAGGCAAAGCAAAGTTGATTATGGTCGAGGATTCTAAAGAAAATGGAAGAGCGATAAAGCAGATGGTGGATCAAATAGCTTTCAACATATAAAAGAGGAAGACACCATCGAGCTAGTGAAGGATTCCATGGAAAATAAAATGTACTCCACTTTCAATAATGTTACAGATGATTGAAAACAACTTCATTCAAGAGAAGAGAAGGATGAAGGCAAGTAAATTAGAGAGGGAGCTAAAGTGAGAACAAATAAAATAATCCAAAAGTTGGAGAAGAAACAGAAGAAATGAATGGTCAGTTTCATGTCTAGAACATTCATAACATAAACCTTTAATAGCTAGTTAGCTATAACCAAACCAGCAGAGAATGTCAAAGAACTTCCGGCTGACCTCATGCAATGTCTTAACATGATCTCGAAAAAGCTTCTCTGAGTCGGATTGATCCAAATGAGGATTTGCTGCACGTCCTTGAGGATCCCTCTCCAACTTTGGTTTTGATTCTGTCCAAGATGCCTAAANTGTGTTATGATTAATGATAGCAATAAAATAACACCCCTAGAACCTGCATCACTTACGCCGAGGGAAGCAAACAACTTGACAAGGCTTAATTAGTATGAAATGCAATAAAGTAATATACAAAAGATGGATCCAGGTTAAACATATCTACAGACATCTCTTTGCCCTAGAACTTGCTTCTACTAAATTATCCTTTTTTGAAGAAAGTTCAAAAAAATTTTAGGGAGGATTATCTAGTTATTTTAACGTCCTTACAAGAAGAATAGTAATGTCGTCAAGACACAAAAGCATGCTCACTCACGAGATCATTTGGTGGTGTTCTCCAGTTGTAGATTGTGGCAAACAATTCATGACTCAAAAACAATTATCCCTACCACGAAATGAAGATAAAAACTAGATTATCTCTATTAACTTTTTTTTTCTCTAATCATCAATTGTTCGAAAATATCTGAACAATAAAACTTGGAAAACTAAACTATAAATAACAAAAAGAGTGATAAAATGGCATGAAAGGCCATCTAAGGAAACAACTACAGTTAGTCATACAATACGCACCAAAATATTACTGGTATATTTAAGACCTTTCCTTATTAACAAGCTGTAAAATTTTAAATTATAGAATAATCTTCCATGAAATTCCGCAAACCCACGATTAGCATGACCAGATCAATACTTGTTGTGGAGGTGTTCTAATTAATCTAACAAATGCTCTCTAACAGAATATGACAAGACATCATGGAGCCTGATAGGTAGTACTATGTTAAATCTGATACCAATAAAAAAAACTAGAATAGTAATACCTGAGGATCTTTTATTGTCTCTACCAATAAAGCTTTATATGATTCAACAGCCTCCATTCTATGAGCTTTAGTTCTCACCCTCTCCACTTCTTGCTCTTCTCTTTCTTTTCGCTTGCGTAGTGCTCGTTCTCTTTCTTTCAGTTTCTCCTATAAACACAATGCAAAATACTTGTGACATCTCTTAAATTAATAATCAGATGACAAACACACATACGCATCACATCACATATAAAATAAGCATATACTATGTGAAAATGATAAACAATCAATAACCAAAATTTTAATATCCGGCCACCTTTGACAAGCAGTCTACGGCACCTAAACAACCGCTAGTGACGATTCCTTCGCGGTGTGATAATTTTCCACCATGACACTAAAAAAGCAAATACAGTAAACTACATGGAAGATAAGGATAAGAATCCACAATGCCAAATATGATATCATCCCGTTCTTTTATATGCACATCATTATCCAGTGATATGCTTAGTCTAGCAATCGATAATACTATTGAGTTTCTATCATTTTGCATCTTTAAATATCTTCAATCCACAGATGCAGAAAAACAGTTATACGCAAAGCATATGTTCGAATTTTAATCAGAATCTTTATGTACAGTATACATTGAAGTATTTACATACCACTCCAGCAGACCCAGATGGACAACAGATTTTACTTCTATAGGTCAAGTTTCAAAGTAAAAACATGTATAAGTGGCAGTAGTTTCAGTGTAGTCTGACACTTAGGATGGCAAACGAAGGTTGACTCATGTTAATTTGAAGGTCAAACATAACATCTTCCTTCAATGGAGGGAGAAACATTTAGGCAGGATACATCCCCCACGGGCTGTAGGTATTTGTATAATATTTATGGGGCGCACCAGGCTAGAATTTGGACTATTCTTCTCTACTCTACCCACCTCAAGCATTTCTTTCAAAGGTACCGTGCCAAATAACAATGACATCTTTTATGATTCTGTGAATCAGTTGCCAACACAACAATGTAGATCTTGTACATGCAGGAAGTAGGTGCACATATATCATATATGCAGGTAGTACTGCTTTCTCGGCTTCTAGGCATGAGAAAATTGAACTGTCTGAACTCGCTAACCTAAGCTGAATCTATACAGATGAGCAAGTTCTTCAATGCAGGACAGTGAATGAGAACTTCAAACAAATAAAAACCTTAACTGCTATATTCTGAATAAAAATAAAGAATAAAAAGGAAACACAGTAAAAAGCTAGGATAAGATAGTTTAAGAAATTCTCATTGAATAATCCTACATTTTCTGCAAAGTCAAGTTGTCCCCCCGAGTTCAAGTGGTTATTCTGTTTTCCTTTTTCAGCTTGGCCTTATCACCCAAAAATGTATATATTAAAATGGTGGTCGACGTGGATCAATATTCAGATTGCTAAATTAATCTTCAAATAAGTAATCCCTTGCAAGAGCCCAAAATATCTAAATATGAAATCCAAGACGCGTGTTTGTGACAAACTAACAAGCAAGAATTTGTAAAGCATCATATCCAAGTTAAATATAATTGCTGATTAGAAACTTTCACTTAAGAATTTCAAATATCACCACCCAATCAATAGTCTGGAGGGAGTCACAAAATTTGTAACCAAATTCAATTTTGAAAAAACATCTACTACTTTTGGGAGAAATTATAGAATGCAATCCTTTTAATTGCATGCAATTTAGCTATTTCCATCCTGATTAACCCTGCCGTATAATAAACCAACTCAAAAAGGTTAGTTTGTGTGCACATAGTGACAGAGAGGAAAGTGGAATATAACAGGCTAGGAAAGAGAAATTTCTCACAAATCCAGATGTGCAGAGCAAGAATACAATTTTGCACGAGAATTTAACAAGTAATGACATCAGAAGCACATTGAGTACAGAAAGCAGAGTAAAAATAAAATCTTATATACAAATATAATTAAAGTAGCAATCCAATAATAGCTAAGACAAAATTCTCTAACCTCCTCTTCCTGTTTTGCCTTTGCCTTCCCTTCTATCAATTTTTCAGCAGCCTTTTGATCAGATATATATTCATTAAATAACCTCTCCCTGTCCTCGTGCTTAACGGACTTGTATCTGGCATCACTTTTTAGGCTATCTTTCACCTACCAAAGAAAAGATCCAAAGCTTCTTAGACGATGCAACAAAAGGCCATCTCAATCATTACAGTGAAGAACGAGCTTACAGACCCTTCATACAGAAACTGAACAGGAAATCAACCGAGCAAGATCCTTAGGAAGTGGAGGACGCGTTTATTAAGGATATAAAACACTAGCCAATTATTGGTATACAATAATATCTTAATAATTCCAAGTTCAAACTATTTGTCATTTTCTTCTTTACTTTGTTTCTCAAATCATAGCCTTTCAACAGATATGTCAAGCATTTGAACATCTGACCTTGGACTGTTGGACAACTCCACTGATGGAAATCAAAGCAGAAAAGTACATCAAAACTATCAATTGGTACAAGTGTAACTTATTGTTCTGGTCATGTAAGTGGAAATCCATCAAACAAGTTACAGCGATGACAGCTACAAGCGTAAAGATAGAACACAACTTCAATGAATATATGGACAAATTCTGCCTCAATATATTGATCTGCCAGTTTCGTGAGAAGTAACTAAAACACGATTCAATTTCAGTACATATGAATAAAGCATATCTTTTTTGGAGGCAACGTTACTTCATTAGCTTAGTCATGATTTTATGTGTGCACAGCCTTCTGATATTTTTCTTATGAGCAAGTAATAAAGAAATGGCTTTACACTTCGTGGCATTAGCTAGTCTACTAAGGCAAATGAATTGCCTTCACTATTCACCCATAACCTTTACCCTCTTTCGTACTTCTTTCCTCTACCTTTATTTCTTCAAGATGCTATCCCCAACCTTTTACTTATTGGCACATGTAGTCCCTGAGGATGGTGTCCATCAATCTGGTGTGTGTAAAAGGACAATTGTATTCTAATGCTTGAAAGGATACAAAAACAAAAAAGAAATAAAAAATCAAATTCGAAAATAGTTATTGTCCACCATTCTGGAGCCCCACCACCCTCTTTGCGGAAATTTTGTCAAAATTGAACCCAGAGCCAAAGAATTTGTGCCGCCTACACTCGCCAGCCACCATAGATATACCTTGTAGTAACACTATTAGCTTCCATCATTCTACCTGAACTGGAGGCCTTCCATTGTCACATGTGGAGCATGCGGAGAGGCAAAGCATACTACTTTATTGGAAGAACCCCATACTGTTCCGATTAACATTTTGTTCGTCATCCAGTTTTTGTATTCGGAGCATACTTTACCCACTATCTTCCTCTACTTATTGTATTGGTACTATAACTCCCAGCATGATACTGGCCTCTTATTTGCTGATAATGCTCATCACAATGAACTAACTGAGGAAATCAATAAGTTTCTGCAAATATTGGAAGGACGAGGTACGAAATAACATAGAGTAATTGGTTGTAAGGGTGGTTGGTTGCTGGGGTAGCATGTGGGGAACGTGGACAGAGGCAAGGGTGGTGGTCGGTTGCTGAACTGCAATGTTGGGGTGGTGGTTTAATTGGAGGTTGGGAAAAATGAACAGTGAATCTTCTGTTTTCATTTTTTCTTTTCCTTCTTTTTCGTTTATATATCTTTTTGCCTTATTTGAGGGAAAATCAACCTTCAACACTCACTCAAATAGAATTTTTCAACAGAAACCATCCATAGCAAATTAAGCTGCCGAAAACTGAAAGGTTGGGGATAGATCTGCCAAGATGTGAAGGTTGGGGACAGAAGTGCAAAAGGGACTAAAGGTTGAAGACAGCAACTGCAATTTCCCCTAAAAATACTGATACAGACACCCACTTAATCACATGTATCTTCAGTGAGGTATTAAACACTCATTCATGCATACCAGACAAGGTTGGCATGCACCTACCTTTGACCAGCGGGAACTAGAAGTAATATCTCCTCTATCTTGAAGCATGGACTTGAAATTTAATATACCAGCAGCATTCTGTGCTTGAGATTTTTCTTCAGCAGTCTTTTTCAAAGGGATCACCCTGAAACAAAACCAAAATCCTAGGTTATAACCAGTGCACATTAGAGCTTTACAGCATTCAGCAAACAAATCCAAAGGAATAAAAGTGCTCTAGCATACAACCTTGTGATCACCTACACGAACTGGGATTGAAGAATCTTAGTTAGGTCCTGTGGCCTCCATCAGATAAGATATTTATATTGACTAACCAGAAGCAGATTACCAACCGCGAATAAAAAAAATCAATTACAAAACCAGGGTTGAGCAACAGGCCACCGCCATTGACAGGTTGAGTTCAAAATTCTATTAGGAATAAGGAGCACTATAAAATCATTAATAACCTTTTTTGACATACTGCTTGCATGTTAAAAATAAAATAGAACAAGCATGATAAAAAGGAAATATATAAAACAAGGTCAGGTGGCCAAAACATAAATTAACTGATTACGACAAGAGATTAGGCTCTGTCCCACCAAAATCAATTTCTTTAGGCATAGGTACATATTTCAAATGGTCCATATTCTCAGTCGAAATACAAAGCTCACGTTCTACAAAAAGCATGTTGTATAATCATTCAAATAAAGATACAAGAAAATAGATTATTAGGTGCCACGTTGGATGACATTGTTCTATTTAAAACAGTTTTACAGGATATCAACCACATGTCGAATTTTGGGAATATCTTTGACCCCCGTTTGATCCAGCAGCACAAGGTTTTATAACCACTGGGGTAAAGATGGATCTAGTTCAACTACTAATATAGAGAATTAGAACTTAACAAATATTGCACTTAGTGAGCATCACTCGATTTCGTCATCTTAAATCCAGTTCTGGAAAATATTGCACTCAACAAAAATTCAGCCAGTAGAACAAAATTATCAAAAAGACAATATGGTAGTTCTGTTTGCATTTCCCGCCATAGTATCTCTAAAATGAAGAACAAAAAATAAATCACTAAGAATATTTCTGTCATGCTCTATTTTAAGTAACCAAACAATAATTATGCCAGAACATGTAAAATTGGACCAGTAAAACTGAAATCAAGCTATTTATATGACAACTAAGGCCCCGTTTGAAATCCATTTTTTTTCCAAGATTTCTCATTTTTCTACGGTGAAGGCACACAACAACTGAAAATCTGTCAGAATGCCATAATCCCATATTCCCATTTGAAATTTCCTTCCGATTTTGCCCTCATCCAATAATTGTAATTTTCCACAAATACCCTCACCTTTTTCAACCTAACTCTTCCACCCAACACAAAAATATGGGAAGGGCAATATTGGAATCAACAAATTAAATGGATTCAGAATGTCAGTTTGCAAGTGGGAAGGGAACATCCTCTGACGGAAATTGATAGAATTAGTACATGGGTCCCACGAAATTTGAAAAAAAAACTGCAGAAGAATGAGAAATCTTGCAAAAAAAATGGGTTTCAAACACAGGCTAAGTGTATTTGAAATTTCATGCAAGTCACAAATTCAAGACCACTGACTCAACAAATTTGAACTTGCTTCCATTTGATGTTTTAGAACCAGCAAAATTCAGACGCGCAAAGAAACCAATAGCATTGCAGTTATAGACAACTTCAATTTATAAATATAGATTATAGTTACATGCATATACAAGACAAAGATATTAAAAACAACGCAGAATATACAAGCGTCAGTGAAACTAATCTCAAAAATGGCAAGAGCAGGAAAAATCTCCAATGGTGAAATTAAATATTCCTGTACGGAGACACCAACTTTTAAGACTATGGCATCATGGATTCGAAGCACATAAGAACGTGCAGCAATAATAATTTCATGAGAATCTGATGCATATAGTGCGTTCAAAGAGAGAGAGAGAGAGAGAGTGATGTAGTACATCACAACTACAATTAATAGTTCCACTTTATCTAGGAGTTGTCTTTTTTAAATTATCTTTTCTAATTTCTTTTTCTAATTGTAATAGGTTTATTCTTAAATTTTATTTAGATTAGGATTAGTTTATTTCCTTTTAGAATTTAGTTTCCTTATTTTAATTTCCTTTTATTAATAGGATTAGAGATAATTT